CATGTCATAATGAAGCCATGAATTGATAAACTTCTAAGGTTTAAATATCTTAAAAATAATTGAATGAGCCATTTTAGGAATACTCAATATGGCTAAATGTGTTTTTCATAGGGTTTAAGGGGATTATTGATGGCTTCTACAACTATAAGAGAGTTCTAATGCAAATGATTTGTAGAGAATTGATGCCCTATTCCCATTAGGAAATTGAGCAACAATACTAAATTAGGTGATAAGACAAAGAAAATACAAAATATTTTAATATTCGATATATGAAATTTTGTCATATTTTATGCAACACTTATGATTTTCAGGATGAAGAAGCCCGACTTATCAAAGTGCTGAGATAGAGAAATTATATAGTTGTTGAGTTGAAGTCTTCTTGATCTGAATCATGAATATTCCTCGTTAAAGTTACTACAAAATTGATTTTTTGAGAACCTTCTTGAGGATTTTAAGCATGCCACATGTGGGGGCTATGGTTGATTATAAGATGCATGGAACTACTTCTTAGAATTACACTGTACTTGACTTGGAATGGCTCAAGTGACACAAGTAATGTTTTTACTGTGATGGTTTTAATTATTGGTTGTGTTCATAACCATTAATGAAATATTATATATTCAACCTAAAGATACTGAAGGATGTACACTGATCTTATAGATGCTTTGGTGATTAACACTTAAATGTTTTATTGATAGAGCAATGAGAACAACTATAAGTCTATTGCTGCTTGAATAGATCTTATACAATCATATAATATCATTATCATGTGTGTTAACCAACCCTACTCTTTGAGTGGAGCATTTAAAGATATATTATATATGAAATAGTAAAACATAGGGGTACAACAATGCAAAGTACATAATTATATGAGAAATTTGCACATTAACAACTATACAAAGGCTTAATCAAAATCTCTAACATGCTTTTCATATGTGGAATGAGTGCCTTAGAGAAACCTAAGCTATTGATGAAGATAATAACAACACTAATATGTCTTCATACGCAAGAAATAATAAAAAAATGATTTTTTTGTGAATTCATATATTCATGATCAGAGTAATGGAGTAGTGATTTAGGGATTAATAAATCTTGGTTAGGATCCTCTACGCATCATGAAAATTTGGCAAATTTATGATGTGAATGTTATAGGTTTCATACAAGATCTTGATCAGAAAGAAAATAATACTAATACTTCTAGTATTTGTGTTAACGCAAATAGTGATTCAAATTACAAAATAGATTATTAATGAATTATTTAAGCATGTGTTGAATTAAAATATCATGCACAACTCCATCAGAAGAAGTGTATTCATATTTAATTATGATTAGTTTGATCACATTCCTAATCATAGAACAAGAGCAAACTTGCCATATAATATCATATAAGTTAAAGTGAATAGAAGATATGTTAAATTTGATCATTTCAATATAGAATGACAAGCGAGTTAAGTGTATTATCTTCAATATCCCGATTGAGCAAGAGATATAAAGTTGATTGGGCAGTAGTCATCACAAGTAAACCTAGCGTGGCTGTTGATACTTAGAATAACGATTGAATCCACTCATCAAGATAGAGAAATGACAGATTTATACATTCCATTTGATTCTATTCATGAAGAGATAACTTTAGATGTTGTTAGTGGTGAATATAAAGAAATTACTCTTAATGAGTGTGGCTCTGGTGATGCTTTGGATTAAAAAAATTTAACCATCCTCTGGCTAATTATTAGATGGTGTAGATTAAGATGTGTACATTATTAAAAATTTTTTTATTATGATAATAAATTTATCCACATCCCAATAAATTGCATTTTAGATTTTTGTTCTTTGTATACTGTTTAGATTTCTATTTCAATATCAGTAGTTTGTAGATTGCACTTTATATTTTGTCTGCACTTTCATTTGATATTATCACTTACATTTGCAGTTGAGTTTGTAACATTTAAAAAATTTGACCAGACTAACCAGTTTGACTGTCAACCGGTGGCTGTTCCGGTTGGTCTAAAACACATGACAAACCATTCATCAAACAATCAAGAACCAGTCGAACTTGCAGTTCAACCTGTAAATTAAAGAACCAGTGCTATCTTTTGAAAATGTGAATATTATTTTATATTCTCTTCTTCTCAGGTCACAGATCCCATGCGTCGATGATCATTTTCCAAATTCAAAAGGCAATATTATATATATATATATATATATATCTTTCAATTACTAAACTTTCAGGAGGAGGAACAAGAAGAGTTTTATAAGTATTAAATTTTTTTTTGGAATAAGGCCAACTCAAATGCATTTTATTTATTTATTGATTTTTATATTATTATTTTATTTTTACTTTATTTAGATTATATTTAATTTATTTTATGTTAATTACATCATCCAGTTCAACCAGGTCAAATCAGTAAATTTTGAAGATTTTCTTTTTCGAGTGGTTTACAAAATCTTAGTAGTTTGTATATATTACACTTTATATTTTGGTCATACATTTATTTAATGTTTTGTGCAATAATTATTTTTTCTTTCTTATTGCATTTGGCTCTGAAATCAGCGACGGTCTCCCTCCACGATGAGGCAATAATAATGTGGAGATGAACTCTACCTTGTCAGTCTCTACCATGCCCATCACCCTCACCACACACCTCCTCCTTTCCCCATACCAACATTACTACCTATTATTGTTGCAGGACCTTTCGAGGTGGAGCATGTTGGACATACATAAGTTTTATGAAAAAGTGGCAATTTGCCATTTTAATTTAATATAAAACTAACTATATATATATATATATATATATAATCACTTTATGCTGGCAATTCATCCTATTCAATATATCATACAGAGAAAATACGAAACTCCATACCTATCATTGAGAGAGCTCCTGATAGTAGTTTGGGATATGTGATTCAGAGAGTTTGGGGGCATACCTTGGACATTAATCTTAATTAATATATATAATTTTATTCATCTAATATATTTAAATTCATTTTGTAGAAGCAATTCTCCTGACATTCTAAGCACGATGCATACATTAGGAGGATTTTTTAGATGAAGGGGGACCATTTTCACGAGATCTTTGGTGAGATATGAAAGATCTGTGAACATCTTCTATGACTCTGGGAGGATGTGTATGATGTATTAGTCAAAGTCTGGGATACTCCAGACTACCAAAAGAAGAGTAAGCAAGCCTAAGATAATTGGCATTCTAATTGTGGGGGCATAGACACTTTCAAACATACTTGTGGGGTGGTTCCACATATAGAGTATAAGAAGAGGATGATAAAAGTTTATTTATGCTTTAAATTTTAGTGTAAACTAAATATTTAATAACTATTTTCTAATCTTAACAGACTCTAAAGTTGGGATGAAGGTCCACAGTTGTCGAGCTACATGCACGTAGCCATAAGCGGTAGTCGAACCATATGTGGGTTGACATCAAATCTTAGGTAACACATATAAGTGAAAAGATTAATTATTATATAATTTAAAATATTCTTGAATTTAAATTTTCATCTAAATTTATTTTATAATTTTTTTATAGGAAATCTTTTAGCAGCTAAAGGAGACACAGACTAAGCCCACTGGAGCACAGACGATCTCTGGCTGTTATCAATCTGATGATGAGCTATGGAGAGAGGCTACTGGTGGCAAGAAGGAAGGAAAGCTTTATGGATTGGGTTTGCATGCACGAGCGTATGACACTCATGATACCATTAGCACATTCAATTCATCTAGGTCTACCACCCATGAGGATGAGACTCGTAGGCATGTTATCACATTCAGTGCTGATATACAGACCCGATTTGTTGCTAAACTCGCTGAGATGAATTCTGTGTTGGAGGCAAAAATGAAAATAAAATTAGATAGATCGCGACTTCTAACACACATAAGACAAAAATATAGTAGAGAAGGAGATCAAGGAGGAAGACGACGACTAGCTAAACCGATGAGGGTTATGATTGTTTTTATTTATTTTTATATTTTTGAACATCAAACTATATTATTCTTATGTACAAATAGCTTAATTCTCTTGTACCTAAAAATTATGATTATTTTAGTGTTTAATTTGTGCGCTCGTTCATTTGATTTTAGTTCAATAACTGCTTGAATTGATAAATTAGATTTTGCGTTGTATAATTGAATTTGTATGTGTTAAGATTACATGTGTGTGAATCATAATGAAAGAAAGAAAACTCTTCCTTCATCTCTTATATGTATAGTTTTCCGATGGCCAATCGAAGGCTAAACAATGGGTTACCGATACATAGAAAACCAATGTTCATCCCAATCATTTATTTAAATCGATGGCTAACTGGTGAGTAGCCGACAATTATTCTTTTGACAAGAACCGACAACTTGTACAAGTTCTTATTTATCTGACGCTTAATTGACCGTTAACCAACTGTCAAGCTTTCGACATAAACCCACAGGCTTTACCCGTCGGTAAACCATCAGACGACAAAGCCACTTGTCCCTTCGATTACAGACAAACAAAAAAGCAACACCCTGTGGAGCATTACTTTATTATTAATCAATGATTTTCTTATTTACCAATAATTTTTTACTCTCAGAAATAGCTGAATTTCTATAGTCATCACAATCAAAGAAACTAATTAAATTATATTAAAAAAAAGGAAAATAACATATTAATGGCATAAAAATAGAGTCAACAGAATATCGCACATTTATTAGGTAAGAAAATACACGTAGATATCATCAACCTCATTGCGCTGCGCATGCATGTATGAACGTAAATTAACCCTAAACCCATTTTACATCCTAAAAAACACAATAATGGCATTTCCGTCTTTTCATAATGAATCAATGGCATATACCACTGTCCAAAAGCCGCCTCTTCCGGCTTAGGACCACCGCCGTACTCATTGCCAAAGCATGCGGTGAGCTTACCGCTTTGTCCGGTTCACCCCGTCTCCTCCCAAAGTCTACCGCTTTTGGTCAGGGAAAGATTAGCGGGCGACATATAAGACTGATTACAGCTTAAATTTCTTCTCTTTCCGTGTATTTGCATCTCTCTCTCTCTCTACTTCATCTGTTCTTTTCATGTCTGTTTTTGTATTAATGGGCAATCCCCGCGGAAGAAAGCATCTTTAGAACTGAGCTTCCCTTTTGCTTTTCATCTTCATCTTCTTTCTCTTCTTCTTTGATCAAATATGGCAGAAAACAAAGGAGGCAGTTCGAGCCGCCACCAAGAGCTTCAGATTAGTTTTGGGATGATGCAGGCTTCTTCTTCCTCCCTTCACGCAAGTGCTATGTAATGCTTCTAAAAAGTTCGATTTTTTACGCTGTTTAGTTTCAATTATCATCTGTGAGTGATGTAGATGAAGGCTTCTTTTTTTCTTCTTCTTAATTTTTATTAATTTTTTTTTAAATTTTTGGTATTAATGGAGATTGAAGAGAAAGTTGAAGAATTAGGTGGAGCACATAACTTGCTACAAAATTGTAATTTTTAAAGTTCGATGGAAATTAATTTAGTCAAAGAAGACTTTTTTTAATATGTATTTTATGAGTCTTATGAGGATTGATGAAGAACTAATTAGGATATTTTTCGGTGGTTCTTTTTATGTTTAAACTATTAAGGCCAGCTTTCCTTTCTTCAACAAACTAATTAGTAATTTAATTTTGTGATTATATTTTTAGTGTAATTAGTTTGAAACTCTTGTTTTTTTGGTTTGGATGGCAGGAGCAAGGAGGGAGGAGCATACGACTTGGGAGAGTTGGATCAAGCTCTATTTCTCTATCTGGATGGTCAGGATCATTCCTCAGTTCAGGAGCATAGACGTGAGTAGATGAGTTTTTTGTGTTTTATAATTAACTTTATTAATCTATTTTGAATATAATTAGTCTGCAGGAGAATATTAGATAGGTGGATCAGAGATTCCCTGACAAAAAATGGTTCTTTGCCTGGTTCATGAAAAGATCATGGCAAAGAGATCTTCCTGTACTTTTTTCTCACTGTTTTTTGAGCATGTAATAAGTGTTTTTTGCTTTGGTTTCTGAAACCCTGTTAGAATTTAATAGTTATTTTGTGAGGGGAGTGTGACATCTAACAACCTCATCATTATTTCCTTGCAAATCCATATCCAGAATGAGAGTGCTCTGGATTTCTTTTCCATCTCTTCAATTAATTTCCTCCTCCCTTTTCTTTCCTCATCTTTTCTTATTCTTTTCCTATTCCTTTTGTTATGATGGCACCAAGCTCCAAAAGCATGACAAGCCAAATTTGGAAAGCTAACAACCATTTTTTATTTTACTTGATTGATGCTATACACTCTTTATGTTTCACCAATCCCAAAGTATATTCAATGATTATTTCTCATATATTTTCATAAAATTAAGAAAAGGTGGTTCAATGGCTGCTCCATCTCTATTTAAAAGTTGTCCTATGTATGTGATGCGTTTCACCTTTAGAAGATTTAATAATGCGTGCAGGAATTCATGTATGCAGAGACTCTGAACATATTCCCTTCTCAGCCCATGCATGTAGAGCCATTCAACAAGGTATTCGTATTCTCCAATTAATATATTTTTTAAATATGTAAACTGTCTTGTTTTCTTTCTCTGATTCATTTTTTGTTATGAAAATTAGGGGGGCATGATAAGCTTAAACAATGCTTCAAATAATTCTTCTAAGAGACCTGCAGACCAGTCCATGGAACTAGGAAACCGAAGGAACAATATTTCATCCTTGGTTCAGCCAGAAAAAGAGAACAAGGCAGCAGTGAAGGTTAAATAAAACCCTAAAATCTCTCTCTCTCTCGCTCTCTCTCTCTCTATTACTTCATACTTTTCTTATGTTTATTGAAACAGAAGGAATCGAATAATAAAAAGGTCACAACTTCTAGTACTGAACAAGAAGGGCCCAAGACACCAGACGCTAAGGCAAGTTCATATTTTGAGGATAATTTATCTTCAAATTCATGTTCTTTAAGTTATTTTCAACTTCATTTCACGTACATTTTCCATAAATTTTCAAAATTTTGTCTATCATCCAATGTGATGCGCTTAGTTGCTGACAGACAATAAGGAGGCTCGCCCAGAATAGGGAAGCAGCCAGAAAAAGCAGACTCCGCAAGAAGGTTAGTCAGCTATTACAACAATATCGGATAGATAAAATGACCATATGCTTTTTACACCTAAATACTGTACAAACTTATAAGTAACTGAAAATTAACTTTTTGGGTATATATGTAATAAGTTATATATATATATATATAGTCTCATAATTTTTTTGTATATATAGTTTTTTAAATTATATATATTTTTAATAAGTAAATATCGATTTCTCATGCATTTTTTGGCCTCATGATGAAAGCCCACACCATGTGCCTAAAATTCCAGAGCCCCGGTGTCACGATAAGATCGAACTCAGAGGACTTACAGTAATCCCGCAACCAACAGGCTAAGACTTGCGACACACACACACAGATATATATATAATTTGACATGCGATTTGTGCAGGTTGCCGAGAGGATTGGAGACAATCTTATTAGGTATAACATGCCCAATGACAATTTTTTGAAGTTTTGCTGAAGCTGTAAATGCGAAAAATATAACTTCGATTATATAAAAAAGCATTTCATAATTGTTTCCTTAATATTTTTGAATTAATAATTGCATGCTACATTTCTTAAACAGGCTTATGTTCAACAACTGGAGAACAGCAGGATCAGATTAACACAGCTTGAACAAGAGCTTCAAAGAGCAAGAGCACAAGTACGTACAAACTCAATTCACCACAAAACCATACATAATAACTCTATCATCTTCTTGTTTAACTAGGGCGTCTTCTTCGGGGGAGGAGCTCTCCTCGGCGATCAATCCCTTCCCCATGGCATCAATTGCCTTAGCTCCGGTATTTCACCAACCAACAACTATATTTCTCCTCTTCAATCCCTCTTTTAAAAAACTATGACATATACTTGAATCTTTGCAGAAGCTACCATGTTCGACATGGAATTCGCGCGGTGGCTGGAAGAGCACCACCGCCTCATGTGCGAGCTCCGTGCGGCCGTCCAAGAGCACTTGCCGGAACATGAGCTCCGGCTTTACGTCGACAATTGCCTCTCTCATTATGACGAGTTGATAAACCTTAAAAGCGCTATCACGAAGGTGGACGTCTTCCACCTTATATCCGGAATGTGGAAGACTCCGGCGGAGCGATGCTTCATGTGGATGGGCGGCTTCCGCCCCTCAGAGCTCATCAAGGTTATAAATAATTCTTCTATCACACAAACCCTAACCCTAATTATTGAACACGTACATAAACCTTTGGGTAGGTGAGGCTATTTGGTGAGAGGTCCCAATTTGATTTTGATTATTTTTATGAGTGGGAGGAGGACTTTGGAGAGGGGACAAATTTGGGAGTAATAAAGTTTAATTTTGCTGATGGAGAAGGAGAGGAGTAGGTGGTGGTATAATGGACAATTTAGATTAGATGGATGATTTCCTTAAAATGGGGGTAACTTGTCTGGCAAAATTATATTCTTTAAATCGGTTGAAGTTTTGTTATCAAATGGGGTTGAAGAATCAGAATGTATGTCCAGTTCTGCGGGCCATTACTGCTGCAGGCAGGAATCACCTTTTTTTTATATTCCCTCTCTTTCATATATATATATATA